TAACTTGAACTATACCTACCTTGTAGTATAACATACCCGGGTTCGTTCAGTAAGATTGAACGATGTGAAATCTTCTGAAAAATGAAATGAAAAACAAATAAAGTCTGTTTTTTTTTAAAGTTAATTCCCCAAGTCAAAAATTTAGTAACTATGTTGGCAGCACAAGCCTTTTCTACATAAAAAATTTGAAAGCATTGACAATTTTACATTGTATTGCCAACATAATGTCATTTTGACTTTTATCTTTAAAAAAAAAAAAACAGATTTTAGGACCTACATTGTGGAAACTTACTCAATTTTACTTACTGGACATGCGCCCGACATAGCAAATATTAGGGAAATTTAAGGGAGGTTGTTGTAAAAGAAACGAAAAATTTGTGAAACGTCTACTTAATTATTAAAGTGAATCGTACCGTTCTCATCCTGGAACTAACGAGGGGAAAGAGCACGGCAGAGAAACCCTCGATCTAACATTCCTCAAAAATCGAAACATACTGTGTCATTTTAATAAGAATTGGGAGTCTATAATTCAATAATTTAAGCACACAGCCCCAGCTTGTTCTCGAGTCTAGTTGCGTCTTGTGTATCTCCCGTTCGTAGTACCGTTCCTTGTGGTAGAACGCGGTCACCCCTAAATTTGATGGCGCAGACAAGGTTGCAACATTTACTTTTATTCAGTAAACGTTTTTTTTAAAAGTTAAGATTTGAAGAAATAATATTTTAAATGGGTGGTTTTCCTCGACCTAATATGAATTTTTATTCTTTTTGTGGGGATAAATATGATGATATTTTTGAAATAAATATCGCGATATATATCAGGATATACATATATCATGATATACAGTGTCATTACTTAAGTGTGCAATATATGGGATTTTTTTTTAGTAATAGCACAATCAAAATACAAACAAGGCCAAAAGTTGGTGCATGTCTGATAATCATATTAGGTGCACTTAGAATGTTTGCAAGTCAAACAGCATACAGGGTGGCTCAAAAAATATCAAAATTCTACTAATATTTACTTAAATAAAATAAAACTTTTGCACTTTAAGGAGAGTTTTTTTAATATGGCTATTATCATTAGTAATGTTTTAACTTGTTAAAAAAAAATTGCGACATTTTAAAGTTGTGTTGAATATCATTGCAACAAACATGAATTTTGTGATTCCATAAAAAATTAAAAATCTAAGTTAATTTTACAAATATGCTTGAATTTGAACAAAGTTATGTGAAATTGATTTGATTTTAATTAATTTTTGAAAGTCTCAAGGGCGGAAATAAAAAATAAAAAAAATATAGAAATTATAGATTTTTTTCGAAAAAAAATAAAAAAAATCTTTGGAGGCTATGTTTTGGTATTTAGGCATAACTTTTAATTCCAAACAACTTTTCTCTATAACATTTTGCTGAATTTTCTAAAATAAGAGTACTTTACAGTACCAGCTTTGATATTGTTTGAGCTACCCTGTATTGTTCGTCGATTTTTAACTGATACTTGCGGTATGAGGAGCGAGGGGGTGTTTCATATGGCAAAAACAGGTGTGACGTCAGGTAACCATTGGCGTTCTAATGTAGGGAGCCACCAGCTCACATTCCGTCCGAGTATCAGATTAAAATCGACGAACAATATGCTGTTTGACTTACAACCATTCAAGTGCAGCTAATATGATTATCAGACATGCACCAACTTATGGCCTTGTTTGTATTTGGGTTGTGCTATTACTAAAAAAAATCCCCATATGTTGCACACTTAAAAAATCACACTGTATATCAGCTGATATACAACATTTTACGGTTCGATTGATCTTTTCACGATTTGATTCATCTTCCTACGAGGGTGTCCCACGGTGGATGGCGTATTAGACGTTTATGGAGAACTAAAAAGCCGATCATTCTGAAAATTTGGCAACCGGGATAAACGGCTATAATCTACACTTTAAAAATATTTTTGCTTATGCGGTGTTGCCGCCTCTACTCTAAACCAGTGGCAACATCGCTATTTTAACTAGAACACCCTGTATGTGATTGCATATTTGGATTCTGCGTAAAATTCTGAACAGATTTCATGTGATATATCCTATACCTAAGTTCAACTGTTTTGGAAATATTGACAGTTGAAAATTGACTTTTTGCAACTTTGACAGGCTGTAAAACCTAAACGGTTAATTTTATAGGAAAACCGATTTTACATTCCTATCTTAGATTTTCATAAATTATCATTTGACACCAACTTTGAATTTAACCGGAGATGAAATTTAATTGGAATTTTTAATCATGGATTAAATTCAAAGTTGGTGTCAAATGATAATATAATTATAAAAATCTAAGATAGGAATGTAAAATCGGTTTTCCTCAAAAATTAACCGTTTAGGTTTTACAGCCTGTCAAAGTTCAGAGCTGTGCAAAGCCCTCAGTAAAAGGGCTTGAAGCACTAAGCCCTAAGCCCTCTATCAAAGTGCTTCAATTTCAAGCACAAATTCCTTTTTATTTTTAAAAGTGCTTCACAAGCACAAAGCCCTCAAAGTGCTTTGGGCTTGACAAGCCTAAAGCCCTCAAAGTGATTTGAAAAGTGCTTGAAGCACATCAAAAGTGCTTGAGGTGCCTTGAAAAGGGCTTCAAGCTCTTTAAATGTGCTTCAAGCTCTTTAAATGTACTTGAAGCTCTTTAAATGTGCCTAAAGCACTTTGAATTTGTAATAAAATTCTCAAAGTGGCATAAGCTACCGCGTAAACTCATCACACAGAATTGGTATAGTAGAGACGAACTTTACATTTCACAGAGTAGCAGTAGTATGTTTTTTTTTGAGATGTAGTTCTGGGGTAGGTACTTGGGGTACTACATGGTACTTCAATTTTAAGGTTTTCAAAATGTTCAATGGGGAAAAGTGGAAAAAATCCAGTGATAAAGTTAAATAGGGTACCAATATAAATTAATTATTTATTTTAATAATAAGTTCATTCATTTTTTTTTTAAATTCCATTCTAAGCTCGAACCCAAAACCTCCATTGTTAAGAGAGAAAAGACATAAGACGGTTCAAGTTCAAATAAAAGAAAAAAAAATTAAGGGACAAAACACGATCGAAAATTTTTAAGTGGGAGGTTGAATGATGGTCAATTCAAATTCCTTTCAAAGTGCTTCAAGCCCTTTTAAAGTGCTTCAAGCCCTTTTAAAGTGCTTCAAGCCCTTTCAAAGTGCTTCAAGCTCCCAAAAGTGCTTCAAGCCCTCTTAAAGGGCTTCAAGCCCTTTCAAAGGGCTTCAAGCTCCCAAAAGTGCTTCAATCCCTCTAAAAGTAATTGAAGCTCATTGAAAGGGCTTGAATTACTTTTTTCAATTACAAATTACCAAGCACTTTTCTAAAGTAATTGACTTTGCAAGCCCCAATTACAAATCTATAAAAGGGCTTGAAGCACAGGGCTTTCAAGCCCTCAAAGTGCTTCAAGCACTTTCGCAAGCACAAAGCACTCAAGCCCTGCTCAGCTCTGTCAAAGTTGCAAAAAGTCAATTTTCAACTGTCAATATTTCCAAAATAGTTGAACTTAGGTATAGGGTATATCACATGAAATCTGTTCAGAATTTTACGTAGAATCCAAATATGCAATCATATACAGGGTGTTCCATTTAAAATAGCAATGTTGCCACTAATTTAGAGTAGAAGCGGCAACACCGCATGAACAAAAATATTTTTTAAGTGTAGATTATGGTCGTTTATCCCAGTTGCCAAATTTTCAAAATGATCGACTTTTCAGTTCTCCATAAACGTCTAATACGCCATCCACCGTGGGACACCCTGTATATCCTCTCGCCTTGACTAACCCAAACTAACCCTATCAAACTATTAGGCAATCCAAACCACGTGACACTCAAGATGGCATGGCGGCCACACATGGACCAAAAAACACAAAAAAATGTCTAGTTTCTGCCTGATTTAATAGTTTAGGTACCCAGTCAACAAATATTTTATTAAATAATCAAAATCAAAGTGGCAAGCAAAACTCTAAGCAAAGTAATTTAAAATACACTAAAAACATATTCAAAACACACTTGCTTGGCCGCCACGCCATATTGAATTTTCCTTTTTGACAGATGGATTGGATTGCCCAATGTTGCCTAATAAATATTTATATTTGTCGTTGAAGGCGGCTACAGACGGTGAGCGATAATATAATATACAGGGTTAGCCAAAAGTCTGGAAACGGCTTATTATCTCCAAAACCACAGATGAGGATTTCACGAAATATGGTTCCTGTGGGATATCCAACATAAGGAATTCAAAACCAGTATGCGCAGTCACGCGCAGTGTTCCAAATTCACATTTTTTCCGCAAATTAATCTAATTTAACTTTTTCAAATGGAATGGAGATTTTTTTTTTCATTGCGTTTCATTCCTTGTATCAATTTTAGTACTTATATTCCCAGATTTTTGAACTTTTTCCATCATTAATTTCTTAATCACAATAATAATCTCAAATCAATTTTTTTAAAATTTCGGTCTCACATTTTGAAGTACCTAATTTTACTTCATAGAAAGTGTAACTTTTCATTCTTTTCAAATTTTCAATATTTGATGTGACACAAGATAACCAGAATCTTGGTATTTCTTCTTGGTTACCAACTATAATTGCTGATAGATTGTCGCCTCCAGCATCGGATTCATCTTCTGATGAGCTATTTAAACTGGTATCTAGCGTAATACAATCATAAGTGATTAAACTTCAGATTCGCCATTCTGTAACTTCATTATATGTATAGATCACCCGATCACAGCCTATAAGCAAATGCTGCTGGAAATATCTTTTAACAAATTATTGACAAATAATACAAGAAATGTCCCATTTCAATTTTAAACATTTCTACTGTTTTTCGCATGCTCAACTTTTGTCTATTCCATGTTCTTAATTTTTTTTTTTCTCTATAAAAAAATAAAGATAATTCCAGAGCTTCCTGAAGATTACCACCAATTTGAAATTCAGCCTAAAATAGCCAATATTTTTTTTTACAGGTTTCATTTGGAGACGGCCTGCCAAATTTGATGTGCGAAATGTGCTGTCAAAGCCTAAAGAGCGCATTTTCATTCAAAAAGCAGTGCGAATCAGCGGATTTGAGCCTGCGTGAGTACTGCAAAACAATGAAAGTTAATGCCATCAAGCAAGAGTTGCAAAATTCAGAATTTATGGGTAAGAAGAATTTTTGTTAATTTCCAGAAATCATCATTGATGTTTTCATTGATTCAGTCCCTGTAAAAAATCATATTTTCAGAATCCTTAAACACATTGAACAATCTTCTCAATAATACGCCTACAAATGAACCATCTAAAGAAACTCCGAAAGAAGTTATTGATGTGGAAAGTGAGGCTCCACCATCCGCCATGGAAACTGAGGGTGAGAAGCCTGCAATACACCCAGAGACAGACTTTATTCAATTTTTGGACAATAATCAAATGCTCCTAACTTGTCGAGAGTGTGCAAAAATATTTACCACTCTAGAAGGATTAAGGTAGCAAAATGATAATCTGAATTATTTTGATTTTTAATTTTGTTCTTATCAATTTAGATGTCATAAGAGGATGCATGCAGGCACTACATTTAAATGCAAACAATGTGATAAGGAATATACGCGAAAAAACCATTTGGAACGTCATGAAGCCTCTCACGGAAATAGGAAGGTGCACGTTTGTAAAATATGCAATAAAACTCTGACTAGAATGGAACACTTAAAGAGACATTTAATTACTCATCTAAGGGAAAAGCCTCACAATTGCAAAACTTGTAATAGAGGCTTCAATAGGGTGGAACATTTGCATAATCATGTTCCAAGGTGTAAAGGTAAGCCTCAAAATGTACACAAACAATATTTTTCCAAAACATATTTTCAGGAGAGACTGTTCACATATGCCCAGTATGTAACAAAGCCTTCAATCGTGAGGACAGTTTAGAAGTTCACAAACAGCAGCACGATAAGGTCTCATTGTCTTTGCCAACTATTGATAATCTGGATAAGCTTGAAGAGCATTATTATGAGGTGGACTACGATGCTACCATCACATTTTCGGACAATTCCGATGTAGAAGACTGCTTCGAGCCGCAAGTAGAAGTAACTGAATCTTTGGAGGATTCTAAGGCAAATGATGTAAATGTCTTGGTCACTGAAGAACCAGTTCATTTAGAAACTAATGGTAAGTTCTTTGGGGATTTGAATATTGCAGTTACTTAATAAGATGGAAAATAATAATAAATTTCTCAGGGATTCTACACCACCCTCCTCAATATCACTAGTTCAACTGGAGAATAAGCAGAAATTCTCATTGTCTTTATCTATGTTTTCACGTGAGACATTCCACTATTAAGACTGTTTTTTTATTGTAGAAGAATCTATCAAGCATACACTCGAAGAACCCGTAGCACCATTAGAGACAAACGAATGTATAGAAATTCATCATGAGGAAATGGAGGATGAAGACGATGAAAAACCTTTATCAGCCCTAGCTGCCCTTGTCAAAGCAGAAGAAAATGATAGATCGTATCAGGAAGAAAATGAGGAAGACGATGACGATGAAGACTACAATACAGATCATTTCGATGAGGAAATGGACGAAATGGAAGAGGGTGAAATTCCAATAGAGGCTGGAATCGAAAATAGAGAGTTTGGCCATTATAATGATAACGATAATGGTATGAGTTACATTATAAAGCTTTGTGAGCGTTTTATTATTATATCCATAATTTTAGGTAATGATAGTTCAGTGGACAGCTCCGACGAAGAATATTTGCCCAAAAAATTGCCACAAACAACACCTAATGGTAAAAGGAGGGGCAGGCCTCGAATTCATCCGCCCAAACCTAAAGGAAATGGTCGCCGAGGTCGACCTGTCGGTAAATATATTTTTTTTTTTTAAATTTTATCTGTACATTCAAACTAAAGTTTGTTTGGAAAGGCCTAATAATAAACTTGTAAAGTGACCATTTGATGGAAGTAGACAGGATGCTTTTAAAAGAATAAATTATGAACCTACAGAAATCTTGAGCAAAAGCTTCTATTGCTATTGGGTATTTAATATAGTGAGGTAGGCAAATGAGAAAACATGAGTTTGTTATATCCTAGCTGCAACATTCCCCCCATCTTGAAAGAGTTTCTTTAAGTCAAAAAACTTTTTTTTTAAAAAAACAAAAGTTAATTTTCCAAAATGTTATCTTTTTTTTAAAAATATAATTAAATAATATCTTTATCTATGAACTCAAAACAGTACATGTACAGGGTGGTCCAATTTAAGCACTTAAGAGAAAATGTGAATTTCTGAATGAGATCCAAAAAAATTAACCTCACCACTCTGGGGCTTAATTTGCATGAAATTTTCATTGGTGCAAGCCACATTTCGATATCTACAACCGTTTTGCCGCTAGAGGGATTTCCCGATTTTGAGAAATACTGTGAAAGCTTCATCACTTTATTTTTTCATGAAAATACGTGATTGATTTCTGTAAAAACTTTCTAAATATACAGGGTGTCCCAGAATATGTGGGCAATCTCTCGGATTCGGGGAGAATATAAAAAAATAACATGATAAGAAAAATTCCTACGTCCCTACAGTCGGTGAATACCCAGACAAAATAAGCACACAATAAACTTTGGCGATACTGTTGTTGGGTAAAAAGCTGATAATAGCCTACTTGAAAACAAATTTTAGATTAAGAAGTACTGTAAGTAAGTAGGTAGGTAATGCCGGTAATGAATAGAAATTACTTGCTTATCTGGTGGCTTCAGTAGTTCGTTGAAGTGAATTGCTTTGAAGATACGAATTATTTTAGTTCGAGCAAGATGTCGTACTCTCTGTCATTAGAAAAAATTGTTGGTAAAGTGGCTATAGTTACTGGTACTTCTGCAGGAATTGGTAAAGCGATCGCTGAAGCTCTAGTTAAACACGGTGTTATAGTGGCAGGTCTAGCCAGAAGAGTAGAACGCGTTGAAGAACATTCCAAACAATTCGGGAATGAATGTGGTAAATTACACGCTTTCAGATGTGACGTTACCAATCGAGAAGAAATAATAACGACTGTCAAGGAAATTACAGAAAAACTGGGACCAATAGATATTTTAGTTAACAACGCTGGATTGGCTCGTGCTACTACCATAATAGATGGTGACGTAGAAAAATGGAAGTCAGTTTTGGATACAAACTTGCTTGCTGTTGCCATATTCATCAAAGAAGTTATTGCTAACATGAAGCTACACAAAACCAAAGGTCACATCATTAACATAAACAGTATTCACGGTCATTGGGTTGTAGATGTACCTGTTGTAAATGTTTATCCGGCTAGCAAGTATGCTATCACAGCATTAACGGAAACAGTAAGGTTAGAAATCAACCGAGAAAAACTGCCCATTAAAATTACTAGTTTAAGTCCTGGATATGCTAAAACAGAAATAGCAGCGTCAGAAGAGTTTGCAAATGGGGCTATTTCTCAAGATATCAAAACACGGCCTGGATTAGAAGCTCAGGATATTGCTGACGCTGCTCTGTATGTTTTGGCTACTCCTGATCATGTGAATGTTAATGAATTAACTGTTGTTATTCAGGGAAGACTGTATTAATTTTATTAAGGAAAAAAAATTTTCTTGAAAAGTTTTTTGTTAACTAAATAATAAAGATACTACTTAGGTACTTAGATATAATTATTATTGTTTTATTCAAGTGAAGCGTTAATTAATCAAAATCAATCAATAGACAAAGCTCGAAGTTCAAATCGTTAGTAAGGTTCGTTTCACCAGGGTTCATACTTGACCTTGAAACTTGTAAAAAAAGGGTTGTCGTAGATCAGAGATAAATACTATATAAACTGTCGAGAATGGAATCTCAGTGTAAATTTTGTTGTCAACAAACTTGAGCCAAGCCAGCGCCATCTACCATTTCGGAAAATCACTATTTACTGGTTTTGCATCGATGTTACAGACACCTACTTTACAAAGGACTTTTTATGATAGATGGCGCCCTGTTCGCATTACTGTCGGTCTGTTCAAATTCGTTTATTCTGGACTTTGAGGCATTAATGTTTGCTTAAATTAATTGATAATTTGTTAATTAGATCAAAAGACAGTTTCTTTATCGATGGTTAAGGGTATCCTTACCATATTTATTCAAAGTTCTGATTAATGTTTAATTGAACTTGTCATTTATCTAATCAACAAAGATAAAAATAGATCTTCCAATCTATAAAGTTTTGAAGTTCTTCTTGAAACACACAAAACAACTTTGAAATCACTTAAGAACACTTGACAACACAAAGAAAGATGAAATGCAAGACCGGCGAACAAAAAACATTATGAATTATTAGTTATGATCAAATGAATATTTTGGCATATTGTCATATGTTGACATGTCAATCTCATGTCAATGTTATCGACATCGGACGTGTTCTTGATGTGCTGGTATTTTCCAATTTTGACAATTCTGTGGTTGTCAGCGACATCTAGAAAAACGGAAAAGAGTTATTATGTGGTTTATAACTGGCAATGAGAGATCGCAGGGCCTGTCGTAGATTAATTCATATGACACATTCAATTTTTTTGACAAATTGAAATGAATGACTTCTGGTTTATGAACTGACGAACATTTTTAACGTCATTGATTTGTTTCAGTCAATTTTTATTTGTCAAACAAAGAAGGCAAATGCTGGTGGCAAGTACAAACCCTGGCGAAACAAACTTTATCTTCTTTTGAGTTTTTTTTTGTTGCAACAGTAAAATTGACTGATAAATACTTTATATCCTTTCATGCAAGATCGGGCGGTAAATTCAACTTACTTATTTCATGTGTCATGTCCTTTACCTATCTTCAACTGTTTCGGAAATATTGACAGTTGAAAATTGACTTTTTTGCAACTTTGAGAGGCTGTAAAACCTAAACGGTTAATTTAGAGGAAAACCGATCTCACATTCTTATCTTAAATTTTTATAAGCTATCATTTGACACCAACTTTGAATTTAATCCATGATTGAAAACTCCAATTAAATTTATTCTCCGATTATATTCAAAGTTGGTGTCAAATGATAGTTTATGGAATGCTAAGGAAAACTAAGACAAGAATGATTAATCGGTTTTGCTATAAAATTGACAGTTTAGGTTTTACAGCCTGTCAAAGTTTCAAAAAAGTCAATCTTCGACTGGCAATATTTCCGAAACAGTTGAAGATACGTATAGGACATGATACATGAAATAGGTTCACAATTTAACGTAGAATTTGAAAATAAAATAGAAAATTGGTGCTTTTTTTAAAAAAAATAAATAAATTTAGCTGTCCTAACTTGTTTAGGGGTCACCCTGTACCTACATGATAATCAGGCCTATGATGTATCATTTTCTGTTATTTTAACAGCAACGTTAAGTTATCTGTCACTGTTTATTCTATACGTCAAAATGGAGACAGAAATAGATGTTGAGCCTTAACACAGCCGTTAAAATAACAGGACAGGATACATCATAGGCCTGATTATCATCAAAAAAACGGCCACTAAAATCAAAAATCGAAGTGTCTGAGGTTTTATGAAAAATATCAACCCGTATATTTTATGGATTTTATTCCAACCTTCACGTGCTCACTGTATAACGAAAAAGAATAGAGAAAGTACTGAAAAAGCTGTATTTTTAATTCTTCACCTGATCATATCAAGAATATTTCTAAATTAAATTCTTTCAAAAGAAAATTGAAGAAACACTTGATAGGGGAATGATACTGTGAGAAATGTCGAGGGAAATGTATTAGCATTGAGGTTGAATTTTCAATTTAGTTTATTGAACTAGGGGAAAGCATATTGAGTCAATTTATCTTTCCACTAATAGGTACCTACTTGTTTTTTGCTTTCTAGTGTTTCTTGTGAAATTGTGAAATATATATTAGCCAAGTGGTGAATAAAATTATTATAATCATTATTATTATTATTATTATTATTATTATTATTATTATTATTATTATTATTATATTATTATTATTATCTGTATGGATATCAAAGTTCTCAATTTAGCTCCTTTACACCACTCACCCACACACTACCACCGTTTTTTGTTCATAAAATTGTATTGTTACCAGATCAAATCATGAAGATGAAAACCGCATGTTTGTATCTGTTTTGATTCCAAAGTTATGAATTTATCCCCTTTACACCCCTCACCTACCTCCTACCACCGTTTTTTTTTCATAAATTTATATTGTCACCAGATCAAATCCTAAAACTGAAAACCGCCTGTTTGTATCTGTTTTCATAACTAAGTTCTGAATTTACACCGCTCACCCACCCCTTATCCCTGTTTTTTTTTTCATGAAATTATATTGGCATTAAATCAAATCATAAATCTGAAAACTACATGTTCGTATCTGTTTTGGTTCCAAGGTTCTGCATTTCCTCCCTTTACACCCCCAACCACCCCCTACCCCCTAATTTTTTCCATAATATTGTATTGTCATCGGACCTACATTACTGTGCCAAATTTGATTGAAATCGGTACACGAGAAGTGTGTCAAAAATGAATCGCAAGATTTGATAGACGGAAACACTGTTATCTTGTAGCCGTAGTAAACAACAACGAACACTTGCTCGTTTTTCGGCCCTTCACTGCTAGCTGCCAGTGAAAAAAAAACATTTTACTATTTGAAATACCATGAAATACTTAGTACGGTTTCTGTGGTACAGTTTATTACGCTCTTGTGGAATAAATTATTAACCATGGACTTACACACAATAACACAATGTGCAACATGATTATACAGGAATTATGTATTAATATCAGAAACTTAACTTTTTAAAAACTAGTTATTTTTGTCACAAGTACCTAAAATGAAGTTTTTTCAGGACGAATCATTGCTGTTTCCGGACGAGGCGT